TATAAAAATCATATATAATTATATAAATATGATATAAATTGTATATAAAGGATATAAATATGATATAATTGCATATAAACCATTTGCATAAATCAATATGATATTCAGTATGACTGAGGGGAAAAAAATCCCAGTTCTGAACTACTGAAGATGATAAGGGAGCTGGAACACCTCCAGTATGAAGACAGGCTGAGAAAGTTGGGGCTGTTCAGCCTAGAGAAGAGAAGGCTGCATGGAGACCTCATAGCAGCCTTCCAGTATCTGAAGGGGGCCTACAAGGATGCTAGAGGGGGACTCTTCATGAGGGACTGTAGCAATAGGACAAGGGGTAATGGGTTTAAACTTAAAGAGGGGAAGTTCAGGTGAGATATAAGGAAAAAGTTCTTTACAGTGAGGGTCATGAGGCACTGGAACAGGTTGCCCAAGGAAGTTGTGAATGCTCCATCCACCCCTGGTGGTATTCAAGGCCAGGCTGGACAGAGCCTTGAGCGTCATGGTTTAGTGCGACTTGGCCCTGTCCATGGCAGGGGGGTTGGAACTAGATGACCTTGAGGTCCTTTCCAACCCTAACTATTCTATGATTCTATGATTTTAATTTTGGTCAGTGAATGGGATGTCAGGGATGACAGTAAAGCTGATATTTCCTTGCTATGAAATGGAGAATTGGAGCCACTGATGTAAGAAAAAAATATGTATGAGATAATTGTCTATCAATTAAAAAAAAAAAAGTATCATCAATGCCCAGTCTTTCAGATTATTGTGAAATATTAGCTAGTCTGCAACCTTGTTTCACATATTTCTTACAGCAGAACAAATTAGTAAAAAGTTTCAAGATTGCAAAATTATTTAAATCAATTCATCAACACTTAATATTTTAATTAAGTTAGTTTTTAGTAACACTGGAAAGAGTACTTATTGTAGGCTTTAACTCCCATTACTATTTAAAAAGATAACACAATTTCCAAAATTTTAGAACTACTTAACCATTCGCTGTGAAGATCAAGGACTGTTACTCAGCTCAGGCAATATACATTAAGTTTAAAATCACTTTCTGTGACTGAGTTGACTGCCTGAGTCCAAAATGTTGCTCAACAGAATGTTAGTTTTTTTGAAAAGAAAAAGAAAAAGAAATTTCCTTCTCTACTGCCCATTAATGTAAGAATAATATTGTCTGAAATACATTTGGAATAAAATTATGAGTTTAGATAGACAGTTCCTGAACACATAGAGACAAACTGCCAAAGCTGATGTTGAATAGTGATACATCAAAAAAGTGCCGTATCAAAGTTGATTGATGCTGGAAGTATTGTGTCTTAGAGCTATGGGATCTCAACACTAGTTTTTCCAGCTGGGTTTCTCCTGGTGAAGGGCTGAGTCAATATTTCATTTACTGAAAACTTCCTGGTGAATATTCTGTCACTTAAGAGGCTCTATTAATCATTACAGCATTGAAACACATTCCCCTAGGAGTGCTCAGACTGATCCCAGGGTTTAATTTCTAAAAAGCAATTTCGTACTACTTCACTTTTGTTGGTGTTATAGCTGGCTAGACATGAAAGTACAAAACCAACTGGGAAATTTTACAACTAATTCCTTTGTTGGTATCAAGGGGTTATGTAAAGTTCACTAGAACATACAGCCTGAAGTTACGGTCAATGCTCTATTCAGCAAATCCGTGTTTTATAGTATCCCATACTTTAAATCCTTTAAACAAATGAATCTCTTGTCTAATCATGAAAGCTCTATTGGGTCAAGCAATCTAAAGTGTCAGTTCTTACAGTTAAATTGGAATTCAGAAATCTTTTCCCCTCAAAGTTACTAGTGAAATAACAGCTAGTTCTGTAAAATAGTGGGAATTAAAAGAGTGCAGATAGGAATTTAAAATATTGTCACAGTCATTGAATTTTATTCACAAAATTACTTGCAGGAACCATGGGACTGCAAATAAGTCTGTTCATTAAAAAACAAACCAATCACCAAGAATGTATTTGTACATTTATCTTTTAAATGACTCAATTCCAACTAAACATTTCAAAGAGTTTTTTTTTCCACCAGAATACTAATCAGAAATTTGTGCAAAAATCTTCTAATGTAATATATACATCCAAAAGTGGTTTTATTTTTGTTTGGGTTTTTTTTTACCTCTTAAAGCACATGCTCCAAAACGCACATATCCCAAACTTTGCTGTTGTTATACTATGCAATCTAATTTAGCACATATGAGTAGGATTTATCTGAACACATTCTTGTGTAACATTGCAGTGTAAAGCCTCACCTTTAACTGACTCGCAATCATACAAGGAATAATTTTGGTCATTCTTCGAAACTGCTAAGCTTAAAAAAAAATAAAAATCACATCTTTCGAGTAAAAAAAATCTCAGTCACCTATTTTAATTACATCCAAAATGGAAGCCCAACTGTTGTGACTCATTTCATGCCCTCATATTTTATTATGTCAACACTTTCCTAGGTAAATACTAGATTTCCTTAACTGAAAGAATTGCTAATGATTTAAATTCTTAATGATTAAATGCTTCTTTATACATTAAAGGGAATTACAATAAGACTTCACAAAAAGACACTACCGTTTCACCACATGTATTCTGGAAAATCACCTAAAAATCTAAACTTGCATTTCGAGCTTGTCATTCTGCTCTTTAAGGCTTGTAGACTAGAAAGGGCTAATTCTAAGGAAGATGAAAGAACATTTCACATTAAAATAACAGCACTACTGTGCTTTTGCTGAGCAATTCTCTCAGACAGCTTTAAGTCTTGATGACATCGGGCTATGTATGGGGTTTCAGAGCACAGAATTCTCCAGAAACCAGGAGACTTCTAACAAAACAAAACAAAACAAAACAAAACAAAACAAAACAGTGCAGATAAAAGACAAGAAGAAAAAAGTTGAGTGGATAGTCATGTCTTTGTGCAGAAGTTTTAATGAAATGTAAAATAGGGTAAAAAAGTCAGACAAAATACCAGCCAGAAAGTTAAAAGTTACCAAAGGTGGTAAACTTGTCAGTAAAGGGGAACAATTCTTGCTTAAAAGGAAGATACTGTGATCAATGAACAAAGAAGCAGTTACAAGTACACATTCAGAATAACAGTTAAACAGCATAGAGAGACCACTGTTGAGTTTTAGCACAAACTGCTTATTAATAAGGTTTGAAGTGCTAGGTCAAACGTCAAGATTTTTGTTTAAACAAAACTACAAACTGGAGTTCTTAGAAAATAAAGATCATAGAATTGAATTTTGTTTGTTATTTTCATATAATTCTCTTCCAATTGTAGTGTTCATATTTACCTCATTTCTACTGTTTAACTAACATATGTACACCTAGGTTTTGGCTGATTTTGATTTTTTTGATTTAGCAAATCAATTTCTTTTCTTACCTCCAATTTCTTTCTTGGAGAAGAGGATTTCCACTGAGTGACAACTCCTTTAGTTTATGACAGCCACTTAACCATGAAATGACACCTTCAAGGTCTGTATTGTAATAGGAAAGAAAATCAAATAAAGATTTGAATGCAGAACAATAAAAATCTTACATGAAAGTAAACTGTACCAAAATCATGAAGTACTACAGGCAATTCTGCTACCTATACAGTATAGTTATAATTATTATCTATAACATCTATGTATAGAAAATACTTATGTTTTCTGTATAAATGTCTCAAATGGGAACAATAAAATTCAAGCAATATTTTATTTAAGAAGGTTTTGTTTGGATGGGGTTTATGTTTGTTTTTTTTTATACAACTCACCTGACAAGCAGTTATTTTTGATATCCAGCTTTTCCAAAGATACAAACGAATTCAAAGGCACAAGCTCAGTTAATCTAAGAACAAAACAGAAAGGTTTTGGGTTTTCAATTAAATAAAACATCAGTTCATAAACAGAAGGGCACCAGGATCTTTTACAGTTATGAAAATTTACTTATTTACATAAGAAAATACACATTTAGCTATCCAAGGTGCTAGAACTAATTACTGAAATTTTAACTTGAAAGCATTTCTTAGTCTTCTCATTAGCTCTGTTTTTAATATTTACTCATTATTGGTTTTGTATTGGTAAATATTTTATTCTATTTCATGCATTTAGTGTTGATGATCTGAAGTCTTGTAAAATTTAGACAACTCAATTGGCTTCTTCAGGCACCATAACTAGAAAGAAACTAACAGAAGGCCTTGAGCCTGGAGAGGAAATAAAATCTGCTTTTCTCTTTCCTCTTTCTTCATTTCCCATTGCTCAAACTTCTTGTCAGCTTGTTTATATTCTCTGCTCATCATTACTGCCTAGATCCTAAACCTAACATAATCGATGTCATAGTTGTATTACAGGTCAAGACTGCACTGTCCTGTAATGTATTTTTCATGCTTCCTCTGTCTTACTACTACTGTCAGACAGTGTCAAATAGATGCCTAGTATACAGATAGTTATGAAACTGCGTTTCTTGTGCAACAAAGCAGCAAAGCAGTAGTAAAGCCATGACAAAATTCTTACTTGTCTTCAAAATTCTTATTGAAGGGTAAACTTAATGAAACTGAGCTGACATTCATCTGTACAAACGATTTTGGACTGTAAGATGCCTATTATCACTACTATTAAACATTAGCGTCCAGTGTTATACAAGTTTCTTTACTTACAAACTTGCATTGGTGCAACTAAGAAGGAATGTTGAATGATTTCGTCAACTGTCAGGCTATTTGCAAATACTACCTTTCAGATTTTTTAAACATTTGGTTTGATCTATGTTAAACGCGAACAAGGGAAGAAAAATTAAAATCAAGATGCAAAAGAAACCAGTCTTCAACTAAAATTAGAATGTTTACATATAAGCCTGTACTATATCAACTGTATCTTTTAAAAAAAAAAAAATACACATTTAGGTAACTTCTTTCATCCTCGTAAGGACAATGCCTAAGCATAGTAAGAGAAAGGTAACACCAATGGCAATGTGTGTGTCTATTTTGTGATACACAAATTTCCATGGAAAGCAATATTTTCTGAGGGTTATAGTGCCTCTGAAAGCTGTAAATCAGAATTCTTATGGTCAGAAACATGACCACGCAAAAAAGAAAACCCACTTTCTCCACAAACTTACATGTGGTCAGAGTCAAAAATGCTTATTTGTTGCTGAAATGTGTGATTTTTGTATTTCAGCACAGGCATTACAACTTAAAGACAGAGCTGGATTGAACTCTGGCACACAAATTGTGGACCAATGTTGGTTGTAGATTCTTTAATCTTATTGAACATTTGAATTTATGCAAAACATAAAAAAAATAATCTGCACATTCAGTTGAGTATTTCTATAAAACAACAACATTTTAGTAGTAGAAACAGATTTAAAGCAATTGAGTATGTCTCAGTATGCTTCCATTTCTTTCTCAAACCATACTGTAAAGTTGTTCTGCTTCTAGTCCTATTTAGCTTTACTACCTCCGTGCCAGTTTTCCATGGAATCAAATAAATATGAAGAAATATTAACTCTAAAAAAGCATGTAGCTTTATGTAGAACTGTATGTAGTACTGCAAATATCAGTATTTTAGGTTCTCATGACCAGTTAATGGTACATAAATATATTTAATATTTGTAACAAATATCATCATAGATATTAATGGCTAACAGTATGGCCACAATGACTGAAAATCCATGATTCAGATTATAGATTCACATATTCAGAAATACCCAGGAAAATAAATGTCGTACTTTGCACAACGGATGAAAGATAATGCAGGTTTTTTTTATTTATAGTGACTGAGTTCTCTGGATCTTTATCAGTATATTCTGTGGTGAATTAGAAAATGTCTACTGGTCTATCCTTGCCTGCCATTGGCACTATGAGAGTTAAAATGTTTCCCCATCATTCTATAGCTTTCCTTTTACTGACGTTCTTTGTTAATCTTTTTCCTAAGAAAATTCAAACCAGAAAGACAAAGGACATTACTGCAAACTTAATACTACTTGACCTTGTCACATTAGCCCTGGGCATAAGAGAGAGATAAATTACAAAGAAGACACAAAAGTAAAAGATATTCACAAAAAAGCAAACTATAGCTTCCTCTTTCTGCTCCCATTTAAGCCTGCAGCAGGACAAGACACAGATAGTCAGAGAAATTCTAGGTCAAAAAACAGGATTTAAGAGACTAGTTTCATGTATGCATCAAACAAAATAAAGATTGTTTTTCTGAAAATGAATAGCAGTTACTGCTCAGGAGGGTCCAAATCCTGCTGTACATAATTTTTCCCAGAAAAATTATTATTGATGTTAATGAGAAGTTAGCAGGTAGGATGGCTAAATAATTAAAAATAAATTTATACTAATCTAGATCTTTAAGTAAACCCCATATTTCTGTTTCATTCTTTAAAAATAAAAATCTTTTAATTTACAATATTAATCATATTTATAAGTAGTAATCAAATATAGCGTAGGAAATCTCTCAGCCACCTGTTTCTTGAGTATTCTAGTAGGCACTACCTCAACTGTATTGTCACATACTTATTGCTAAACTTATCACCAGCAAAGAATTACTGAAAGTGATCAAAAAAATCTAGACTGGTGTAAGAACAGGCCGGGGAAAAACACAAGCTGTAAATATAACTTTTTCATGACTAACTTATTTCAGCATCCACTGACAACTCCGTAAAGGTGGTCAAATTCTCAAAATAAGATGGCTTGCAATGACAGCAAGTTCAACTCTTATATCCAAGAAATTAGGTTAAAAACATAGATACCACATATATTTAAGTAGGGAGAACAATATGTACTAAGAAAAAATTGAGCTGAGTTTTTAGCATTTCTATTATACTAATTTTAGGAATAGTATGCATCTAGTTGCAAAAACATGAGAGCAACATTTTCACAAAGAATTTGATTCTGGCCAAGTCAGCTTCCCCCAAAAAAGGAATTTTTGCAGATATTTTAAAATATTAAAATTTTTGCTATCACACGTAGGTTATCCTCATGAAAAACCAGCAATAGCAAAAAAAGAACTTTGCCATATTAGATCCATATTAAACCAGAAATTTTAGATTTCTCTATTTTGATGTTGCCAAAAAAGACCCCAAAAGGAATGGCTACTTGAACAGCAGACTGATTTAGTGTCTCACTGTAAAACTTCTAACTGAAAAGGACATTAACAAGTAAGCTACATAATTAAGTGGAATTACACGTAAATATAAATACCGCATAAACTCTAAACACATATTAAATACGTATTTATTTTAGTCCCAGGGGAAAGTTTTTTCTTTCCTATTCCTAAATCTTTATCGACAAAAGAACAAAAAGGAAAATGTACCCTTTTTAAACTAACTTAAAAACTGTATTCTCCAGCTACTATAAAATAGAGCATGGATATTCATAGTTCCAATTCTGCAATAACCAAGTCAAGAGGATATTCATCATTGGTTTTGGTCAACTGCATATTGATGAAGTATACGCTTTGTATTTGAAAGCCACAGAAAATACTTAATAAAAGCAGCAGTGGTGAAATAGTTGTCATTTTTATATTTGAAGGAGTTTATCACTACCTGTTAAAGTATAATTCATTTTTGCTACATTCAAGATTTAAAGCACTTATTTTTTTTTTAGTTTTGTCTTTGGCATTTTCTGATTTATGATGCAGACAAAGTATCTCAGGAATAAAAAAATCCTGTAAATTAGTGTAAGAATTTTCTTTTCACAGTACTTCACTTTGTGAAAGAATAAAGATTCACAGCATTACCATTATATGCGCTTCCTGCAATCAGTAAAAAGGAAATGGCACTCAGTGCACACTTGAAAAAAATTCACAAAATTGCACTAGCTATAGGATAAAAGTAAAGAAACAGCTTTTCTTTCAACAGCTTACTCCATTACATTCACTGTTCCTATAGAACATCGAGTTACTTATGCTATAGCACACACATATGGAGCTGCTTATAAGTGTACATAAAGTGAGTGTAACAGAGCAGGCTACTGAAACGCCAGGAATTTTAAGGTTTTTAATATGCATTTAAGGCTATCTTGTCCTGTTTGTCGCTAAGATTTGAGATAAATTATTGATACATTAAGGAAAGAAAGGGAATTGCTGGGGAGGAGATGTGTGTTTATTTTCAGCACATCCAGTTTGCTGCTGCAAAAATAGGTGTTTTCTCCCAGTCCAGCTCAGTGAATCAAACATGGTATCTCAGCTTGACCACTGCAAAACCAGAATAAGCACTGCAAGGAATATTAAAAACTGTAAGATCATGGGATAGGGGAGTGACATCAGGTACATATATGTGGCCAGTCCAGCATACCCTAGATCCAGAGGCTGCATTCAACCTATGCTTGAGACCGTGCTCCTGTTTTTTCTCTGCCTAGCAGGCACATGAAGTCTTCAAGCAGTTTTGCACTTTTTATTACATACATCATAGCTACACCTTAAAGTTAACAAAATCCAAACTGTATGAAGAGGAGGAAACTACACAGAGATAGAGCCACATTACTGCATTTTCCAAAAAAGCTGAACAGGACAAGGGAAAAAAATAAATAAACTGAAGAACAGAAATTAAATCAATTTGTTTGATTCAGAATCTGACACTTAACAAGTAATGTCCTTGTTAACTACAGTCAGGAAGCACTTCCTCCAAACTATAGAAGAATTAATAAAAAGAAAAAAAAAACCACCAGCTTGAAGAGTAGATTCTGTAAATATAACTAGGTGTCATATTTACATCTAAGAGTTTACATGCATACTACTTCATTAGAGATGATATGAAAACAATCTGAAAAGTTATATAAAAATATAGGTTGTATATACTCAAATAGTATTCATTTTCCATGAAGGAAATGCCTTATAATAACAAGACTCAGTCTTACAGATCTTTTATCCCACAGGCTCCCAGATACAGTTGGCTGCTGAACTAAATGTCACATAGCATTATATGAGATTCATTTGTTCAGCTGTAGACACCTACATATGAGCTGATCATTTTGACTCTGTTAAGAGTCAGTGAAGGTGAAGAGGCACTTGTAGGATATGATTAGTCTCAAAGCAAATGACTAAAAATGGCAGATGAATTACACTCTAAAAGCATCTCCTCTTCGCTAACAGGAGAGTGAAGTGATTAGTTCAAAGTGTATATTGTGTATATTATGCGTAACAAAGTAAATTCTATTTGTTTAGCTGAGATCAATCTTGTTCAGAGTGAAATGGTCTCAGTATAGAAAAATATTTTATATTAATAAAATTCATTTTACTACTAACATGGAAATTATAATATGTTCCTTATTTTTTTAGCAGAATTTAAATTAAGAAAAGGGGGGAAGGGAAATAAAAATTTTGACTTCTGAATATCTGATAATTCTAACTTTACAGATGTACAGATTACCTTAGAAAATTAACAGAAAGCTAATTACAGAGTACTTGAGTGCATGATCTAGTTTTATGACAATTGTCTTGATCCTTCTTTTTTATTTTATACCTTTCAAACTGAACCATAAGACTAAAAAGTTAAAGCAAATATGCTTGTTTTGGAGGGCATTAACATATGCATGCAAAATAAAAAACATTCTCTTTTGTCCTTTTTAACTCTGGCAGTTACACTTAACATAGCCTGGAAAGTCTGTTTTGAATAAGCTAGCTGTGAAATATGAAGTTTGACAGACATACTCTAGAAACAATTGCTAAAGAAAGGAAAAAAAAAAAAAAAGAAAGAAACACCATGGTTTTAATAATGCCACAATGCTCAATGCTCAAAAATTATTTTCATATAACATCTTATAGAAAAAAATACTTTTAATAGTTAATGCTGTTTTAAATTTTCTTAGCTGAAGGTAGCCAATGTCATTACTTCTCAACCCCATATTTTCAACAATATCTGGAAAACACAGTGATATTTTAACCACACTGAGAACTATACTTTTCAGAGAAGTGTTATGTTAGTAAATGTCTCTCTATCAGTTCTGTAAGTGGAAGAATGATTCTTGCTTACCTATTTTGAGACAGCAAAAGAATCTGCAATAGAGGCAACCAACATAAAGAAAGCATTCTTATAGCAGAAATGCTATTGTCATCCAAATATAGTTCTCTAAGGAGAACATGATTTTCCAGTCTTGGAAACTAAATAGAAAAGAGATGGTTATTTAAAATTAATATAAATTAGAGAAATGACAGTGGAATGCTTACCAGATGCTTTTCATAAATCATTACTAAATGCAAGCAAACCCCACATTTTTGATATATGTATCATTTCCTTATTATGTATGTACCAGTTGTCACACATGATTTCTGCATATCAGGTGGTATTTTTTTTAATGTCTTCTACCTAGTCTGGAAAGTCAATATAAAAAAAAAACCCCACCAAAACAAGAGCCCAAGAGCCACAGTTATTTGCTGCTTATTGACAATGATTTTCCTCTCTAAGATTCATAGGAGAATCACTGTCAGTAAATATGATTAAGTGCATAGCTAACAAACTACTTTCCATTTTTAAATGCTGCAGCACAAATTTCAACTTTTGGAGGATCAGTATACATCAAATCAGCCTGAACTACTACTTATATGTAATAATAATAATATTCAGTTACATTTTAAACAAAGAATCAGCATCAAATACTACAAACTGAAGACTAGATGCTATAAACAAAGGAAGGAAATGTAACTTCTGAGGGGCAAACTTTTCAAGGACTTGGATGCAAGAAGATATTAATTGCAAGCTATTTGTATCTCTGTAAAATCTCCCTCTAATAGTGAAAAAAAAAAAGCCCACCTAAGAGCACAAAGCATCCCACACCACGCAATGTGCACGTGATCAGCATTCTGAAAAACATGATTGTCAACAAAAGTGTATGCAAAACAGCCACTGAATTCAAAGCTTTTACCTCCTGAAGGTTATTGCCTTGCAACTTCAGAATTTGAAGCAGGCCACAATTCTCAATGCCTTCAACTTGTGTGAGATGATTGAAAGAGCAGTCTAGGTGAACGAGAGTAGGTGCCTCACAAAGACCTTTTGTGCTGATCAACTGATTATGGTCCACAATTAATTGCTGAAGACTTTTCAATGACTCCAGACCACCTGAAAGTTAAGGATTTTATCTGAATGAAACCATAATGAAATAAAACCATGTTGGTTTTCAAGTACTAAGAAAACTCTGAACTTTCAATATATTTATATTATCTATAGTAACAATTAATATTAGTCCTATATAAGGTTTAAAACTAATTACTGTATTTTGACCTGATCAAATATATAGCATGTATAATTAAAAAATTTCTGATCCTGTTAACCAAGGAATAAAAACAGTTCATAACCCCTTTAGCACTTCTGTTGAAACAGAACATTCTTTTAGTGATAAACTATACTTAATATGCTTTAAGCACTTTATAACTGCTACATATAACCTATGGGCTCTGTGAAATTCTAACAGCCCTCTTAAAATCACCCCCAAAATTAGAAACAGTTTTTACATTTAAAATTTAATTTTCCTTATTTCATTTTTAAAAGTTTTTTTTAAACTATCAGCAAGTTGAGAACAAACTGTGTTAAAACTTAAGACAGCACCATCTTTATTATTTAAGTGCATCTTGTTTAAGGAATTATGCCATAAAATATTTTTAATAAAGAAATTAATAAAGAAAATTTGGTGCCTTTAAGTATAAACCTATACTTCTATAGCCATTACACTGTCAACAGACTTACTCCTGCCAGGTAAAGAGCAAGAATGTGTGCGATCTCTACCCCAAAAAGATGTAAGGGAAAAGGTTCCTGTCAGTGTCTGCTTCTTTCACAGAATTATTCCTGAATCATCCTCTTAAAATGGCAAAATCACACCATCTTTCCATGATGCTACACATGCTAGATGTTCAGCAATGGCACTGATGCATCTGACATGCTACAAGTCCAAGCAGTTTTTCTGTGTATCTGTAGTAATCCTGGTTTGTATTTCCTTTTACTCTTGGATAAAAATAAAAGGAACCAGCACCATCTAGCGGTCTCAAAACAATTTCGTTTCAGTGTTAAGAGCTCCCACGACTTCCTTACAAAAGCAGTTGTTAAAACTCCACTGTTAAGTTACGAACTTAGCAGTACTGAAAACTTTTTTAAAAGCACTGAATTACTCCGGAGCAGGACAGAGAGAAAAGACTGCACACACAGTAAGAAAAGGCAACGAGTTAATACAAGATCTGGAAATTTCCTATTCTGCATGCTGCAGAAAGTGCCTTTTTTACATCTCCTTCTCCTCATCTATCTTGTTTAATTAGACCAAATGTCATTCGGAACAGACATGCCTAGGCTACACACAATAGGATCACAATCTATTCTGGAACTACCAAATGCAGTCCAGAGGAAACATACACAAGAGAGAACGTAATACAAACAGATGGTATTTTAATGTTTCTTCTGCACACACGCAAAATTAAAAATAAGCATGAAAGTCCTCCACATATTTCCAGAAAATATTGGCTGTTTTACATACAATGCAACCAATACAGCAGTATATGGGAAAATGCATTCTGTTGAAAAACATGGTTTCAGCAAGATTTGTGGAGAACCTTTACAGAAGTAGCTTTTAGCAATTTGAAAAGTGCAGCTGGAGTCTGCCCTAAGATAGGGACTCTATCTTAGCTATCAATGCAGTTCCGAAACAACATCTACATGTGACAAAGATGAATCATAAGAGAGGAGTGAAAGCTGACAGTGAACATGAAGATGAAAACACACATTAAAAAAAATACAACACCTCCTAACCCCAAACCAACCAAACAAATAAAACAAATCTGAAAGGTGTCTGATTAACACTCCCCTGTTTTCTTAAAAAGAGTAGACCCAAAAGAGGCACCCACAGTTATGCACTGCTATTCTTCGCACTGCCAGGATTTTAACCAACACACTATGGCCACATAGACACCCTTCTAAAGCGTATTCTATGACTCAAGTCAAAATACTACTTTTTGTGTAAGAAAATTTCTAAGTAAAGCGTTCATCTTCCAAGTACAAACATACACATCAAACTTCAGTGTGTTACTGACACAATTGCTTAATTTGCGATCGTGCATTCTTAAATAGAAAAGCATAATTGAGACCTATTTCTCGTACTTTTACTGTTATTTTTAAGGCTTTTCTGGCAACTCTGATTTTTCCCCTACTGATGCTGTATTTCAATGAGATAAAAAAAAAATAAAATAAATCATAGTATGCTTGAAGTTTCCTACAATAAGGTATTGTAACAGAAGTATTGCAAACACAAATAAGTCTTACTTCTTAGAAAAAAGAGTGCAGCTTTTGTTAAAACTGAATGGACAGAGAACATTGCACAGTACTGCAGCTTCCAAAATTGCTAAGGGACATCTTCTAAGATTGGATGGGAAGGATACATTAACTTCTTAAAACCCATAAATCCATTTTTGTGTATTCTATGTGACTACTTACAACCAATATGTTATTGTATGAAACAAATCCTGTACTATATTTTACAATGAGGATGTTTTAACCGGACATCCTCAAAGTAGTTCTGGAGAGGATAAAAACAGATTCCAAGCTGATTTTTGTGAAGTTATTTACCCACTCATACTTATTAGAGACTCAGTAAACATAGCAGCACACTGCACAAAACAGAAAAGAGGATTTCACTCCACTTTGCCTGTACAAAGATACCATATTCCACACAGATGCCATATTCTTATATGTTGTCTACTGATACTATGTCATTCTTACAGTAATCTTTCAGACATTTCTAACAAATGAAACAAATCTGAAGAAGAGTCTTATCCAGCATTATTGGCCAAAAAGGTATAGGTGAAGCCTCTTTAACCAGTTTATTTTATTGTTTCTCATTAGGGTCCTGATATGCTTTTACAGTAAGCATTGATATTTCAGCACCTTTATTCTCAGGTATTATAAACTCTGTTCGTAAATAGTAATATTCCAAATTTGCACACATATGCAAAAAATATGAAAAATATCAGCATTAAAACCTCTAAATCTAGAGGGTTTTTTTAGCTTTCCCATTTCCTCTTTCTATGCCCTTGTTATTTATCATGGAATTGCATTATCCACGTTCATATTGGTTTAGTCCTTTTTTTTTTTAAACAGTGGAAATCATTTATTTATATAAATGTCTTATGTGAATGTGTTTCATCTATCAGCTTAATAATTGCTTTATATTATTTTCCTGTGGCCCAGCAGGAAAATAAAGTATGTCCACGTACTTTAAAGAAAATTAAAAGTTGAAATCAATACCAAAAAAAAAAATAAATCACAAAATCATAGAATGTTTTGGGCTGGAAGGGACCTTAAAGACCATCTAGTTCCAATCCTGCTTGCCAGAGGCAGGGACATCTTCCTTCCATTTGACCAGGTTTCTCAAAGCCCCATTCAATCTGGCCTTGAACAATTTCAGGGATGGGGCAGCCACAGCTTCTTGGGGAAACCTATTCCAGTGCCTCACCACCCTCACGGTAAAGAACTTCTCCCTTATACCTAATCTAAAGCTACCTTCTTTCAATTTAAAGCCATTCCCCCTTGTCCTATCACTACATGCTCTTGCATAAAGTCCCTCTCCAGCTCTTTTGCAGGCCCCCTTTATGTACTGGAAGACTGTTAAAAGGGCTCCCTGGGGCCTTCTCTTCTCCAGGCTCAACAAGCCCAATTCCTTCAGCCTGTCTTCACAGGAGAGGTGCTTCAGCCCTCTGATCATCTTTGTGGCTCTCTTCTGGACTCACTTGAGCAGGTCCATATCGTTGTTACATTGGTCACCCCAGAGCTGGATGGAGTACTCCAGGTGGGGTCTCACGGGAGTGGAGTAGAGGGGGAGAATCACCTCCCTTGACTTGCTATTCATGCTCCATTTGATGCAGCCCAAGATACAGTTGGCTTTCTGGGCTGCAAATGCACATTGCTGGATCATGATAAAAATCAGAATCTCCTTATACCCTTTCTATTCCCAGTTCTGCAGTCTTTCCCAGTAACATCTTTAGATTTAGCGCAGGCAAAAAAACAACTAGAAAGTTACCTTTTCAGGTTTCATGTTTCAATTTATACAAAATTAATTACTTCATCACATGTTTTTTTATTTTCTTGACCACAAGAATTTATTTCAGTGGACAAATATCTGAAGATTTATCTCTGTTGAGATTGTAATACTGAAGTTATATAGGCATCCGTACCTTGCTGGCCTTTCCAAATTTTACAGTATATCACACACCAAAACTCAAGTCCCTAGAGCATAGGGAGGCTGTTAAATCTAGTTCTGTTCTATGTGCTGTGCTGCCTTTTTGGAGGAAACTTGCTACTTTCAAGACTTAAGAGCTCCACTCCCTTTCAAGTAATGATCTAGCTATTTACTACTTCCTTTTCTCAACTGTTAATGTTGCTTTTTAGGGATCACTGATGTTCTTCCCTCCATACATAACTTTAAAACCAAAAAACTGTCTTCATAACTTACATACAGCAAAGCACTCTGTTATTTTCACTGTGCTACACTTCCCTGAACTTTTGTCAGTAGAAAAGACTCTGGATCCTGTTTACATTTATATGAAATTTACATAACACAAAACTCACTGCAATATTTTTGGCTTGCCAGAAGTTGAGACACACTATCTACACCTTAGGCACTTTACAGTCCAAGTACCAGTACAAGCAGAGAGGCAAGCACTGCTCACCACATGAAAAACTCCTTGCTGGCCAACAGAAATCATCTATCTCTTGTCAGAAAGATTTCATATATTGATGCATCTGTTGAGTGGTCTGGGTATATGTAAATTCTAACTGGTTGACTGCTAAAGGTGCACCTGTTGCCTGTCAAGAGTTTAACCTAATGAATATAACAAACTACCTTTGTAGGTACAACAGAGGTTAGCACGCCTGCTATGCCTAAATGATTGGCATGATTCTACCTTAAATTCATTCTTTTTTCCAGCTTTGGGGCAACCAGTAGCAATGAAGAACCAGAGGGAGGGAAATACAGAACAATAGTTTGGAGCCAGAATAAGCAACAGTTTAGCAGAAAGGCAGGCCATGGTCCAGTGTTAGAATGGTTCACAAACTCAGATAATATGGTTTCTCTACAACTACTTACTGCGTCAGTCAGGAACACACCGTAATTCTCTGCAGTTGCAAGGCTAGGCTTTATACTGTTTCTGTAGATAAACTGAACTCAGGCTACTCACATATTCCAACTGCATTAATGTGGGTAATCTTAGGTGCCTTTGGAGAAAGATTTTTAGTTCTCTTTGACTGACAATAGTTACACAACCTTGTAGACAGAATACACAGCAGTAACTAAGCCATACTATGAATGTGAAGTTGAGTATGCTTTAAAATGCAGGTCTGTTCTAAGCCTGTTTCCTCGTTCTCCTTTAGCAGCTGGCTGGCCCTGAATCCAAGTGAAGTATAACTCTGAGTGTAAACAGCATAAGTATTGTTATACAAATTGGAATAATTTTTCATTAATTTTCTTACCAATCCGAGTGATTCTGTTGTAGGAAAGTTCAAGATTTTGAAGATTTATGCAGCCATCTAAACCACAGACTGATGAAAGACGGTTCTTGCTCAGAATCAGAATAAAAAGATTTTCTAGATTTTCACAGTCAATTATCTGAATGTTGTTTTCCTGCAATAAAGGGAAATGAGAATCTTAAATAGCACCTGAAGTGAAATGGCAGAATTAAGTCTAAAATCATGACAGAAGGTCATCATGACTTATTTTTATCCTAAACTTCTAGCTAGGAGAAAAGGCATCTCTATTTTTTCCATTAAGAAAATAAACTGATGAGTCACAGAAGCTGCCTTTTGTGTCCTGCTGGGTTAGAACAAATATATATTTTGAACTTCACTCTGGCTCTGAAAATGCCCAGAAGTTGAAACAAAAAGTGTACAGACACGTTAAGGACAGAGAGGTCTTTTCCATTTATGCTTTCCTAGTTCCCCAAATCCCAGAAGACTAAATTAAAAACTGAAACCATCATATTTATTAGACAATAATAAAAACAGCTATGACTTTGCTGGAATCTATTCGCGAATAGTGAAAATCTGCATTTAGAGATATTTTGGTCACAAACATTAACACTGTTCTCAGCTAACGTTCTGCTCCCAGGAGATCATGCTCTTTTAACATCCCCTTCCCAAGGCCATTTTAATAAAGATTCCTCAAATTTATATTTCACTATCTCTTGCCCTTGCTGTTTTCCTCTGTTTTTCACCTGCAGATACTTAATCAAAGCTTAAATTCCTTGCCTTTGTAACATACTGATTAAACCAAAGGGTTTAATACCTATTCCAGAATTAACATGCTGACTGGATTTAGGTGCTACCTTCAGCTGCAGGCAGAAATGCTTACAGGTTTCCTTTGGAA